TAGGGTTTAGGGTTCAGGGTGTGTTAGGGTTTAGGGCTTTAGGGGTTTAGGGTTCAGGGTTTTCGGTCTAATTAGGGGTTATAGAGGGTTGTCATAGTAATTCCCAAGGGCTCCAGCTACTCAAATAATGGGTTATACCGGATTACATATTAGGCAACTGGAGCCCTAGGGAAACTAGTTCTTTGGAGGGGTTATAGAGGGTTGTCGTAGCAATTTATGAAACTGTAGCACCCTAAACCCTAAACCCCTAAACCCTAAACCCTAACCCCAAGGGTCCCTTTAAGGGTCCCTCCTTTATACCCTAAACTCCCCACCTGTAGTTTCCTTTAAATAAGGAGAGCCCACTCTGCAGTATCCTCATCCCATTTACTACGATGACCTTAGACCTACTTGGAGGTTCATGGGACTTAATAAGTACTTTTATAAGTACCCTAACTGGGGTTATAAGTACTTATAAGTATAGTTACCTTACTGATAACCCTAGTTACTAAGTCCCATGAACCTTCAAGTAGGTAGAGAGCTCCTTCGTTCGCAAGATCCCACTTGTGTTCCCAAGCCTCAATCAGCCCGAAACCGTAAACCTTTACCCTAGACCTAAAACCCTAAACCCTAAATCCCAAAAACCCATAAACCGCCCTAAACCGTAAACTCTAAACCCTGAGACGTGTGATGTTCGGCATGTCCCGCAAGGATGAATATCTGCTCACTGAGGGCAACGAGTGCGGACTATGCCCCGACAACTGCGACGAATGCACTTACGGATTGAAGTGCGATGTTTGCAAGCCGTACCGTGGTTATAAGCAATTATAAAGTATAGTTACCTTATTTTTAACCCTAGTTACTCAGTCCCATGAACCTTTTAAGTGGGGGTTTAGCAGGCTCTGGACCAAAGAGCCCAGCTGCTTTTGTACCATGCGGCCCTGTTGTATGGCATCTGCATGCCATATTTGGAATTTGTGATGTCCTGTTAGTCCACTCAAGCATAAGTTCCAGCCTAGGCCTTTTGGCTGGACCGACGATTGGAAGTGTGCCAAGTGCGAGCCCAACTGCAAGTCTTGCAGAAAAAACGGAGCCGCGAAGTGCGACGAGTGCAAGGAGAACTATGCGCTGAACAAGGGCACCAAGAAGTGCGAGAAGTGTGCCGATCACTGCAAAAGTTGTGACACTCAAGGGGGCGGCAAGTGTGATGTCTGCAAGGCCGGGTACGGATGGACAAATGATTGGAAGTGCGCACCCTGCGCTGCAGGGTGTAAGGACTGTGCCCAGGCAGGAGCAGGGAAATGCAACAATTGCGAGGCCAAGCATGCATCCAGGTGGCATGTTGGAAATTGTAACTTCCTGCATACTCTGATTGTTACAAGTGTTTGTTGAATACTATGTTGGGGGGGGGCCAGAAGCTTTAACTCAGGCATGGAATCAGCAGACAAATGCCTGCGAGCCCTGTGCCCCGAATTGCCAGAGCTGTGGTCGTGCGGGCCCTGGTTGGTGCGATGTGTGCGAGGATCCCTATGAGGTATCGAAGAAGACATGGATGTGCGAACGCTGTGCGACGAATTGTGTGGAGTGCAAGAGCGCAGGTGGTGGCAAATGCGATGTGTGCAAGGCGGGGTACGGGATTATTGCAAGTCAGCAGACCTGTGACGAGTGTGATCCAAGCAAGAAGCGGTGCAAAAGCTGCGATCGTGCTGGCGCTTACAAATGCGATCAGTGCAAACCTGGTTACGAGCTCGGCAAGGCGTCATTGACGTGTTTGAAGTGTGCCAGCAATTGCGCCACTTGTGCGACTGCCGGAGAGGGCAGATGCGACTCGTGCACCGAAGGCTATGCCCTTACCTTGGACTCGCAGAACACATGCCAGCCCTGCGGAAAGAATTGCCTCGGTTGTGCTCGCGCCGGGCCAGGCAAATGTGACAGCTGCGCAGACGGTTTTGCACTTGACACTGGGAAAACCTGCAAACCATGTGCTTCCAACTGCAGAGTTTGCAGAAAAGAGGGTCCAGGGCGTTGTGACGATGGGGGCTGCCAGCTCAAATACGAGCTCACAGCAGCTCGTACTTGCGCCCCATGTGCCGATCATTGTGACAGCTGCAAGACTGCCGGCGGTGGGCTCTGTGACGTTTGCGCCTCACACTACGGTCTCACTACTGGCCAGACCTGCGGTAAGTGTGCTGACAATTGCAGAACCTGCCAGAATGCAGGCGCATCCATGTGCGACGAGTGCAATGACGGCTACGTCCGCACAGATTCGAAGACATGTGCATCCTGCGCCAAGAACCTGTGTTCTTGTTCATCTCTAGGGTTAAAGTTAATTAAATACTGGGTTGCTGTGTTACACATTATATGGCTAGTAACCTACTATTTAGGTATCTGGAGGTTGAGGGAAAAGATATGTAATTTACGAGAATTGAAGTTACCAAAATTTAGAGAAGTAGGCAACACTTCCTTATGATGGTATTCTGATCCCTCTGCTAGTAACTTAAGCTAACCACATTAGCAAGACCCCTAAACCCTGAACCCGTAAACCCTAAACCCTAGACCCTAAACCCTAAACCCTACACCCTAAACCCTAAACCAAGAGCCCAGGAACTGCCGCGGCTGCGCCATCGCTGGTGCTTACAAGTGCGACGCCTGCGAGCCGAAATATGGACTCACCGAGTCTCGCCTCTTTTTGACGGTCTACCTAGGGTTTAGGGTTTAGGGTTAAAAACTCTCTATATTTGTAAAGCTTCTTAAGATTATTATGATTTCGATGTGTGTGTGTGTGTATATATATATATATAAATATGTACTTTTCCATGTAAGGGTAGGCTTGCTGGGGGCAGCAGATAGGGTTGAGGGCTTAAGGTTTGAGGTTTAGGGTTTACGGGTTTACGGTGTACGGCTTCCAGGGTTTAGGGTATTATCGGGTGCTTTTTTCGGGGTCCGAAGCAATACTAACACTGTTAATGAGGGTTGCAGTTCCAATGATAATTTAGTATCCCCCCTCCAGCAGCAAAATCCTAATCCGATTTTTCTCAGGCCCCTAACCAGTACGACAATCTCGTTTGAAGGTATCTCCGATTTCAATAGATGGGTTTAGGGTTTAGGGTTTAGGGTTTAGGATGGTCCATGCACACGGAACCGCCCTTTTCCCTGATCTCCAAAAAAGGCAAGCCCAAAGCCTTGAACCTGAATTAGGCGCTGAGAGGCCTCAGTTAGTTGATGATACCGTCGTAGTCTTTACAGGATTCTCGATGTAGTTCCGGTATTAAGCCCTGCAGGTTTAGAATCCCTATCCGCTTTCGGAAACTTGCAGATTTCGCGAGGCCGGGCAAACCTGCGAGAAGTGCGCGAAAAATTGCCGTGACTGTTCCAGGGCCGGTGCTGGGAGTTGTGATGTCTGCGACGCGAGCTACTCGGGCTCTCCTTTGTCAATGTATTTTTTTCAGCCTACAACCGTACAACTACAAGGGCTCCGAAGCGTTTGAGCAACATCTTGCTGATTCTGGGCCCAACAGGGGTTGGATGTATGATACCCTAAACCCCGAAACCTAAACCCAGAAGTAGGCCGCTTACACTTTTTGTCTGTGGGGTTGCCACACTTAGGCTTTCCTGCATGGGGTTCGTTTAAACAGGCAGACCCCGGTAGTCAAAGGATACCATGTTGTTTTTTCATGGTTCTTATACAGTAGAATACGAAATAGTATAACGGTATAACAGTATAACATAACATAACATAACATAGCACAACATCAAAACAAGTTCTGACATAACATGTCAGAATGATGCTTATAAGCAATAATGTGAACAGTTTTGAGCAGTAAGATTAGTAGTAGCAGTAGCAGTAGTAGTAGCAGTAATAGTAGTAGTAGAAGTAGTAGTAGTAGTAGTAGTAGTAGTAGCAGCAGTAGCAGTAGCAGTAGCAGTGGCAGTGGCAGTGGTAGTAGTAGTAGTAGTAGTAGTAGTAGCAGTAGCAGTAGTAGTAGTAGTAGTAGTAGTAGTAGTAGTAGTAGTAGTATATTAGTGCTGTTATTAATATCTGTATGTATGCACGTATCTTAATATGTATATATATATATATACATATATCTATATATATATATATATATATATCCATGGTTTGCTGCCCCCCTAGGCTATGTGGTGGATGGCCACGACTGTCTTCCTTGTGCTCAAAATTGCGACAGTTGTTTGCATGCAGGAACAAAGAAATGTGATGCAGACACTTGCCTGTGTTTGACCCGGCTCTTAGCAGATTTGCCTGTCGTGTGTCCCCACCGTCTACACACCGCCCTGAAGTCTTCGCGTTTCGAGTGCAGCTGTCAGCCAAGGGAAATTGCTATTTGGGCTACGGTATCACGGCGAACAAGCAATGTGCAAAATGCAGTGCAAACTGCATGTCTTGCACTAATGCAGGATCCTGCGACGCCTGCGCGCAGGGGTACACCCTCAATAGCTCGTCAACTTGCGACAAGATCGGCTCATGGCTACCATACATCGCTGCCATCATCGTCTTGCTGCTGGCTTGTTGTTAAGGCACTCAATACCTGACCCCATGAAGTAACCTGTTTACTCATTGTCTCTCTTTCCCTCTCTCTCTCTGTCTCTGTCTCTCTCTCTCTCTCTCTCTCTCTCTCTTTTCTTTATAAATATATGTATATTGCAAAACAGAAATATCTATATAATGTGCATTTGTTTGTTTATTTGTTTGTTTGTTTAACCATTTGATTTTCTAACTTAAACTAGCTTCCTTACAAAACCCCATACAACCCTCAAAAACCGACCGAGAACCCTGTAGATCCGCTTCTAAGACTCCTAAAGACCAGCAGAAAACGTTACTGTTAAAACCCTAGAAACCCTAAACCCTGAACCGGAGCCCAGGCTTGGGGGAGGTGCCTCCCTCTGGTGGTTCTTTGTCGTCCAGAAATCCCAAGAAGCTGGGTTCTTGCTCAGGAACTTCATTTGGGGTTAGGGTTCAGGAACTTAATTTAATAAGTTACCATCATCGGGATCTGTTGTAGATAGTATGTTGTACTTATTATGGTGACTTAAATCCCCTAACAAAGAGAACCTTTATAGAACCCTTGTAGTTACATGCACCCTAAGTTACGGCAACTTAGATCAAATTCCCTAAACCCTAAAAACAAAACCCTAAACCCTAAACCCTAAACCCTAAACCCTAAACCCTAAACCAGAACAGGAAGGTTCGGCACGGGAGACCGTCTTCGCTCCCGAAAGCCACGCACCTTTGACCGGTGCACAGGAGCCAGAGTTCTGGTTAAGGATTTGGGTTTAGGGTTTAGGGTTTAGGGTTTAGGATTTAGGGTTTAGGGTTTAGGTTGGGTAGTTCTCTAAACTAGGGTCCCTTTTGGGGTCCTCTTTATAAGGGTGCCATACGATTTCTGGGCACTTAGAAGGAACCCTGATTTTAGAGAACTACCCATTGTTGAAGGGATTTATGATGGTTTTGTAGGGTTTACAGTGCTTTTTAAGGCCGGGTTTCATCGGGTTTTGCAAGTGGTTGTTTTTGTTAAACAAATGATCCGCTAAAGCAGAGGTGTACAGCAAATAATAGCTTAAGCTTATGATCGTGATGGTAAGTTAAACGACTTTTTGGCAAGAGCACAGGAGATTCAATTGAAGTCTTTGGGGCCTAAACCCTAAACCCCTAAACCCTCCGACACTTTGTGTCGCCCTGCTATGCATCTTGGCGTGCTTCTCGCTTGGATGGTCTTGCATAAACCCCTAAACCCCTAAACCCTAAACCCCTAAACTCTAAACCCTAAACCCTAAACCCCTAAACTCTAAACCCTAAACCCTAAACCCTGAACCCCTAATCCCTAAACCCCAAACCCCAAAGAGTGCAGGAGATTCAGATGGAGTCTCTGGGCCAGGGCGCATCTTGGCGGCGCTGCGGACGACCGAAGCCTCTTTAGAGTTCAGGGTTTAGGGTTTCGGGCCCCGTGAGAATTCTCAGAGTCCTTCCCACCGGTTTCATATAGGGGCCTTAATAACTAGAATAGGGTTTGGGGCTCCTTTGTAGTGTAATCAGAATAAGGAACCCTAACGGTAGTATTGGTAACTGTTTAGGCTTCTATATTAGGGGCTTATATGTTCTGTTTGCATTCGATGGTTCGGTTCTCGAATAGAGGCAATTTGGTATGGGGGGGGGGGGGTAAGTCTAGGTAATTATAGGGGCTTAGGGCTTCCGGTATAGGTCATAGGTGCTTATACACTTCATGGGGGAAGGGTGGCTCGCAGGGAGCAGGGGGACTGGGAACGCATGACACGGACACTTATGAACCCCATCCAAGCCAATATACACCTTTTGTAACCCTGATATTTGATAAACATTCAACCCTAAACTCTAAACCAGATACACCGCAAGCCTAAACCCTGAGCCCTAAACCATCATATAAAGCGCAGTATGGGCTCCAGAAGGCCCCCCTACATTTTCTCGCACATCCCACAGTCTTGCTAGTTTCACCAGGTCGTGATCTCAAGCATGCCGTCCATTGCCACCTTTCATCCTAGCCCTAAACCCCAAATCCGAAAACCCCGTTCCCTAACTGCGTCCTAAGCCCTCAAATATAGGGGCCTAAACAGTTACCAATATTATTTTGGGGTTTTTGATAAATATTATATTATCGTGTACCCCAAAACCCTATTCTAATTATTAAGGCCCCTCCATTACCCTGAACCGTAGACCAGACCTTTCGCCCTGAAGGCCCCAACCCCTAGCAAAAACCCTTGAACCCTAAACCCTAAACCCTAAACCCTAAAAATCCCTAAACCCTAAACCCTAAACCCTAAACCTTAAACCCTAAACCTTAAACCCTAAACCCTAAACCGTATGCTTAAAGGAACCCTGAGTCCAACCTCAAGGAAAGGAGCCCCCCGTCCCACCTTAAGGAAAGGAGGAACCCTCAACCCTAAATCCTCAATCCTATACCCTAAATCCTAAACCCTAAACCCTAAACCCTAAGTCCTATACCCTGAACCCTAAATCCTACACCCTAAATCCTAAACCCTAAACCTTGAATCCTAAACCCTAAATGGGTAGTTCTCTAAATTAGGGTCCCTTTTTGGGTCCCCAATATAGTACGGCACCCTTATAGAAAGGACCCCAAAAGGGACCCTTATTTAGAAAACTACCTAAATCCTAAGCCCTGCATCAGGCGAACCATGCTCAGGCCTTCCAGACTGCCCTGATGTACCCAAGTGGAAACTTGGTCATAGTTGGGCAACATTTTACATTTTTAAGGGCACTTAAACTAAACCCTAAACCCTAAACCCTAAACCCTAAAAAAATCAATGTTTAATATTCTCCCAACAATGAGCTAGGAAAGTGGGCCGGCTACTACGTGCAACTCGCAGAAGACGGTTCCGGCCCCGAACCTGGGCTGTTTAGGGTTTAGAGTTTAGGGTTTAGGGTTTAGGGTTTAGGGTTTAGGGTTTGTCTTTTGCGAAGTTGATTTCAGTCAAGCTGCCATAGCCTTTAGGTGGCTTGCATGGTGCCTGTTTTCCTACATTTTGTCAGAATGTATGGTGGAGAACCTGCTTTCCTAATTTCACTTGCCTAAGAATCTAGGACATTTTCAGGTGGGTAGTTACCGTTATAGGAGCCTTCTAGAAGGTCTATGTACCTTATAGAAGCCTTATAGAAGCCTTATATACCCTAAACTCCCCACCTGTAGTTTCCTTCAAAAGAAGAGCCAAGGAAAGAAATCCAGTCGAGTTTGACATCGAATTCGGGCCCGACGGGTCCATCAGTGGCAGTGGTACGGATGACGTCGGTGAATACTGGCTCAAAGGTCAGGGAACGCAGACAGGCAGCATATGGATTACCAAGTCCTACAGCTCCCATGAGGCGGGCAATCTCACAAGTACACAGGTTTAGGGTATAGGGTGCCAAGCCCCAATTTCAAAGCCCGGTGCAGCCTCCAGATGCAAAGCCACTACCTCTAGCAACCACGATGCCTCCGCGCAGATGTCTATGATCCAACATGGCCGCCTTGTATTTGGTACCAGTAAGCACATATCCTTCGTTTAGGTGGCCTTGGTTACTCTAGGTCTTCATGATATAAGCTGTAACCTCGAAAGTTGGAAGTGTAATTCCCTCACCCAAGATGCCCTGAACCTTAAGCTGCGCTGAATGTCGACTTCCAGGCCATATCCCAAACATAGGGACCTGAATGATTAAGAGACTCCCTCCCATAGGATGCCCTGAATTGCAGACCTTCCAAACCTAGGGTTCAGTCTTGTTTAGGGCTAAGGGTTCAAGGCAAGTGCATAGACCACACCGGGCCATACCGTCCCCAAACCGTACCGTGAGACAGTCATGGAATCTATGTCTTTTTTGTAGTCGGGTCATCTGACGCACACAAGCTACAATGGAGACCTACAGGAAGGTAGAGTGGTTAAGCAGCCCATGGCTCTCGAGGTGAGATTTTCACCGGTCTCTACAACAAGTTAGGTCTCTAATTTATTGGGCTCCTATTCATTTGTTGAAAGGGTTTAGGGTTTAGGGCCAGACAGGTCAGTAGCCTGCGAAACGCACCACGTTCCAAGCTCATTCCACCGGCTGCGACAGCCAGGGCCGACCTTACAAAACCGCATACTCTGGACTTGGCGTTTCTTTGTGAATATTTGCAACAACCCTGGCACTCCAAAAAGCCCGAAGTAGGTACTATTTACAGACTTTAGACCCCAAAGTAGGTTCTATTTGTATCCTTGGATCCCTAGGGCAACACCCTTTGTCACGTGGCCCTTGCAGGTTTACATAAGTGATTAACGTTTAGGGGTTGTTTGAACAACAGCAAATGCAACAGCAGCGGCGACAACGACCACGACTGCCGCCCCTTCTTCTTCTTCTTCTTCTACTAGTACTAGTACTACTACTACTACTACTACTACTACTACTACTACCACTACTACTACAGCTACTACGACGACGACGACTACTACTACGACTACGACTACTGATACTATTGCTACTGCTGCTACAACAACAACAACAACAACTACTACTACTACTACTACTACTACTACTACTACTACTACTACTACTAACTACTACTGCTACTACTACTTTTACTACTACTACTACTACTACTACTACTACTACTACTACTACTGCTACTACTACTACTTCTACTACTACCACTACTAATAAACATGGGTCCAAGGGGTTGTAGAAGCCGGCGAAATTTCGTAAAACGGCAGGTGCAGTACGAGGGCAAGATGGTTGGCTCCAATCTGGCAGCGGGAATCAAGGGCACCTGGCGCATCCACGATGCCCGGCCTTGGTTGGCCAGTCTCCCCTCCTTGTTGGGATTACCCAATTAGGATTGTAAATATGAACCGCTCCATGCGGATTTGGAGGATATAAGTTCTAAATCGCTCTCTTTGTTCGGGTAGGCCGCGGCAAGCTCCGAACCCGGACCGATTGCCATTCTATGCTGTGGTGGTTCGACATACCCGTCCTCATTCAAAAAGGTAGCTTCCCATAAGAGAGCGCGTATCTGCAATGGTGCCTCCTTCAAAAGACCTTTAGCACAACCCTATAGGATGCTATGAGCATATCTTCATTGTTCTTTTCCGGAACCCTATAAGCTCGAACCCCTCAGCAATTGATGGGCCGGTTTAGGGTTTAGGGTTTAGGGTTTAGGGTTTAGGTTCATGTTGGGGTCTGGCACTGATGGGTTTCGCTGACTGGAGACTCCGAAATCTGGCCATCAAGGAGTAGGGTTTAGGGTTTAGGGTTTTAGGGTTTAGGGTATGATTTAAGTTCTATGAGGAGCCGTCTATACTACAAGGAATACGCTAAGCAGTCTGCTGAATTCAGCTTAGATATTACGTGCTACCACAGATCCCTCAGTCCTTCATTCAGGAGCTTTGGAGTTTGTTGGGTTTGCAGCTGCCGGGTTAAGGTATTAGGGTTTAGGGTTTAGGGTTTAGGGTTTAGGGTTTAGGGTTTAGGGTTTAGGGAGGTCTATTAGATTGGAAATACTGTTTCCCCACGCTCCCTGCACGATGTAATTACGTAGACTACCCTGGAGACCCCTTTCCGCAACCTACATCCTAAACTCGAAACCCTAAATCCTAAACCCTAAGAAACCCTAAACCCCCAAACCCTAAACCCTAAACCCCAAACCCCAAACCCTAAACCCTAAACCCTAAACCCTAAGAAACCCTAAACCCTAAACCCTCGCCCTTGGCCGGCCGAGGACGACTCCGACGGCGGCATCCATGCGGAGGATCGCATCAACAATGACACCTTCTACATTTGGCCTCCGGAGTCTTGAGATTGAGCCTCGGAGTCTTAGGGTTTAGGGTTTAGGGTTTTAGGGTTTAGGGTTTAGGGTCGTAAGGGAGCTATGGATCTACGGGCTATGTAGACAGAATATGTATGGATGCATGCTTGCTTTTAAACGGGCGTATGCATAGGATTATACAGAATGTACGTATATATCCTATGGTTATATGCATACATACATATATATGTATGTACATATATATATATATATATGTGCATACATGCGTACAGCGCTTATAAGTAGGGTACAGCTTTTCAAGGCCTAACTTGGGGTGTATCGATCCGAAGTCATGCGACAACCTTGGATGCTGAGGTATTAGGTTTTTAGGGTTTAGGGTTTTAGGGTTTAGGGTTTAGGGTTTAAGGTTTAGGGTTTAGGGTTTAGGGTCATTGATTGGCACCATGGGGCTTTACAGGATTCTTGTTAAGGAGCCTGAAATTACGATACCATAGTAGGGATCTGTAGTAAAGGATATGGTTTCCTTATTATGGTAACTTAAAGTAGGTTCCAAAAGAAGAGCCCAGTTTATGCCCGGAGATTCCGCAAACTCCCCGTGATCAAGCTATAAATTTTCATTCTTGAGTTATGTTGACACCCATGTTGACACCCTAAACCCTAAACCCTAATCTTAAAACCCACCTCGCTCAAAAATGATGTAGGGCGCGTTCCGTAGTCAAGGGGTGCTGGAGTTTCTCGGGGTACGCACTCTTTAGAGTTTAGGGTAGCTAAGGCTTTTTGGGTTGAAGGTTGAGTGTGCAGGCTATAGTATAGGGTTTAGGCTTTGGGCATTGAGTTTCGGGGGCAAAGCCTGATCCGGATTTGATGCCCCTCTCGGTTCTCTAATTGGGGGATTCGCCTGGCGCAACAAGACTTCTTCTGCGGGGAGGGAACCGAACAGCAACACTAGTTCTGCATCATCACCTCAAGGACTTGGGTTTGGGTTTGGTATCACTTCACGATTTGTGTGGGTTGTGAGGATCCCACGGGGGTGGGGGTGGGGGGTAGCAGGACTGAGGCTTGGATTGTTGATGTATCTTTCCTGGTTTGAGACTGTGATTGCGGAGAGTGAGGGGCAATAGCAGCTTCAAGGCAGCACCTGCGTGGTTGTGTGGGGTCACCCGACATCTGAGGTATCTCGAGAAGCGGCCTTTGCCTTTCGAACAAAAGTAGTGCAAGTAAGAGAATGGAGCGTTTAATGGAGCGTTTCCTAACAGCATCATCGGCCTAAACCCTAAACCCTAAACCCTAAGCCCTAAGCCCTAAACCCTAAACCCTAAAACAACTACCCATCGCTAAAACGGCGCTCGAAATCATCAGCGCTTAAACCCGAAACTCTAAGTCCAAACTCCTAAACCCTTCTAAACCCTGAACCCTGATCACTAAATCATAACTCCTAAAAACCCCTCAATCCAAACTCCGATGAAACGCTGAGGATGCCGACCATCCGCAGTAACTCTCGGTTTCCTGGCCTGCTTCGCTTAGGGGGTTGCAGGTTTAGGGTTGAAGGGTTTAGGGCTTAGGGTTGTAGGGTTTAGGGCTTAAGGGTTTTTAGGGTTTAGGATTTAGGGTTTAGGGCTTAAAGAATTAAGGGTTTAGGGTTTAAGGGTAGTACAAGAGTATAGTGTTTCAGGATGTGGGTATGCATGTTTTCCCTACGGCTGATGGACAAAATCCTGCATGACCTTATATACCTAAACTATGGGGTTTATGGTACTATACCATATTTGGGTCATGCAGAATTTTGTCCATCAGCAGTTGTGTATGGTGCCTAGGGTTAACGGAATGCAGGATCGCGGCAATGAGACGACAAGGTCTCTAGGTCGAACCCTTAAACTTACCCCTAAACCCGAAACTCCAACCCATAAATGGAAGTTCCGGTGGCTGAGGACATCTTCCGAATACCAAAGCCTGAAGTCCTAAAAAGCCGAATCCTGTTTTCATGTGTTTGTTGCCAGAGGATCCTAACCACAAAGTGGGTCTATGCAGGGTCCCCACTGCAGAAATTTAGGGTCACACCTAAACCCTACTAAACCCTAAACGCTACCCTAAACCCTAGTCTTTTCACAGGGCCGGAGCACTGGCCAAGCAGGAACTACAACCGCACCCTCCTTAGGGCTCGCATTAGAAGGCCCCCTTGTTTTCTGAAACTTCCCATGTGCCGTGGCCATCCCAGGACCCGGATCTAGAGTGAGCAGAGATGATGGCCAAAGCAAGCCAGATCGTCTCTACAAAGGATTTGGAGTGTAGAGTTTAGGATGTATAGGCTTCGGGAGCCTAGGTCTCAGGATCACCAAGAGACGACAGCGTCTGGGTCCTTTTGCAAATGCACTCTGACAGATTTTGGCCATGCAGCATGTCTCGGCGTATGCAATATCGTGCATACGGCATACGAGATCATGTTCTGTCACTGATCTTCGTGATTTGAAGTTCTCTAGCACCCCTAAACCCTAAACCCTAAACCTAAGGCCTAAAGCCCAAGCACCAGACCAGACACTCAACCCCGAAACCTAACACCGCAAACCCGGGTATGACCCTCGGGAAGATCACAGGCCTCTTCTTTGTATGGGAAAAGGTCCGAAGAAACGCACCGGCGACGTTTAGCCAGTGACTCATTGATTGTGTGGCCAGACCAACAGCATCGGCGTGAGAAAATTGGATGAATGTCCGCTCGCTAGTTTTGTCCAGAAAAGTGTTGTCACACATTGCCAGCGTCTTCTTGGCGAACTCTACTACGGCCTAACCCGAAACACGAAACCGTCACCGAACTTTCGCACTGGATTCTGCTTGCCGCAGCATCAAAACTGGTGTTCACTCGCATTGTGTGCTGATCGGAAAATGTAGTACGCATTAGCACCCCTTCGTTTGTTGCGTATATGTTGACAGAATATACGAGTATATATATATATATATATACATAGAGTTAAAACATGGATGTATATATATATATATATATATATATATGGTCAGCCCCCCCCCCATGATCTACC